TGCAGTTCTTGGCACATTGGCAACAACAAATTTGTGGGTGTCCTCATCAGTACACCCTTAAGACAATGGATTACCCGGTGGGTATCATTCCATCATACAGTGAGGAAGGCCATTTAAACTGATTTTTAAAAGGGCACAACATCGGGCATGTCTGGGGATAGAACCCAGGACCTCTTGGTTCTGAGTCAATCGCTCTGACCATTACACCACTTGATGCCAGTAACTATTTACCTTCTGGATTTCCACCTCTTCAGCTGCGGGGTTCTTAGGCCTGATGGGAAATGTTGTCTTCGGGAGGAGAACAGTGTCGCTGTACTTCTTACTGCTGGCATGGCGCTTTCCCACCACAGACACCGTGTGTGTCTGCCATCTCACACAAGTCCTGGTTCTTACAGCTGGGATGCTACACAAACTTACTCTCCTCCATATCACTAACATAGTTGCGCTCACGTGTGGCATTCTCACCTCAATTCCAAGCACTTATAATCCAGTGCAGTTTATGATAGATATAACGTTACATGTATGTATACTCTAGTCCACATATGGTGCATAGCAGTATGTGTTCTTCTTCGGTGTTGGGAAACAGCTCTGTATTATATCTGAAAAAAAATTATATTTGATATGATTTATGAGGATCTGTATTTATGAGGATCGACCCCCCCCCATCTAAATTTCTGTAATATCAGTTGAAGGAAGCAATTTGGAAACTGGAGTGATAGCATGTATATGTACATTATATTTCGAGGAATCCTGCTGTTTTGATTGATTGATACAAGGACGTTATATCAGTCTCCTGGGGTTTGATTCTTATTGTTTGAACAAACAGCTGAATGCATCTATTTATCCCGATCGCCATGGTATTGGCATACTCAAACCATGGAGTTTAACCTTCTTGCTCAAACCTGTTTCATGCATTCTCAAGCTACATGTAGTGTAGGGAGATCTTTGTGATTCTTTGCCCCTCCCCCGCCCCCATACGTTACAAACGGGCGCAGTTGATTTCTGCGACTCTTTCATCATTAACCTCCTTTAATCACATACGTAAAGGCATGCTACATCTATTAAGATATATCTCTTGTTTCAGTAAGTCTACAATATCATTGAACGACTACGAAAACCGACAAACACGTGGAGTTCACCTTTGTCGTGTGTTGATCTCGAAGTTCAACTTTGACCTTTTGGGCTTTGAACGCCAACAACCATAAGTAACACTCAGTGTGACCTGTTTAAAAACAAATAGCATTAATATCGAACACGTAAATACTAAAAAACTTAAACAATTTCTTTTCTTACTATAACCGATGTGAATTTTATGTAACATCTGCAGCTAAGGTTTCTGATATTGTTTTGTGCGTACATTTTGCTGCGGTGTAAGCAGGTGTCTTGTGACAAGTGTGAAAGTCGCTGGTTGGTAACGCAGGTCAGGAGGAAGTTTTGTCGTCGTCATGTTTCCCCTGGAATTCGGCATGTTTTGACGCGTTACAAGATGTCTGACGCCCACAGAGACTTCCCTAAGGTCTTCCCAGACCACGTAAACGGGATGCTGGCGCGTTCGGCGCTAGGAGAGTCGGAGAATGTTGGTGCGGGTTCGGGGGATCTCGGAGCCCCTACCCCCATCCCTGTGGGCCCCTCCTACCTTCCCAATGCTACCTTTGGCCTAACAGTGGTATACATCGTCCTCTATGCGCTACTCTTCATGTTCATATACGCGCAGCTGTGGCTCATCCTGTACTACAGACACAAGAGGCTCAGCTACCAGACCGTCTTCCTGTTTTTATGCCTCTTCTGGTCAGGCCTGAGGACTACCCTGTTTTCCTTCTACTTCCAAAACTGCGTCTTGGCTAACAACCTGTCGACTTTCCCCTACTGGCTGCTGTACTGCTGCCCAGTGTGTCTCCAGTTCATCACCCTGTGTCTTCTCAACATGTATTTTGCACAGGTGAGACGGTGTTTAATAGGGTAAATGTCTGTACAAATACTAAACAGTCCTATGCTGTACATAGTTGAATGTGTATCATGGTCTGTTTTCAATCAGAAGTGTGAAAAAGGGAACCATAGAGAAGACAAAAGCATCATCATTACTCAATTATTTAGATAAGGCCCTGTAGCTAGCCAAACAGAGAGATCTGCTTTAGACTAGACGCTGGTACATGCATGTGACGACATCTATGTTTACAGTTATTTTAGCTACAGAGATATTAAGCAATTAATTATAAGTTTTTAAACTATAAAGTCCTGTCGATTTAAAAATCTACAGGACGTTGTAGGTGCCACGGGTGCTGCATAATATCAAAGGATGCATGTAATGCCACATGTACTAGTTTAGTAGCCTTGGAGGTTAAAATGTAGAGGGCTGAATTAAAGCAAGAAGGCTGTTTTGCTTAGTGAAGATAACATCGTGCCCCCAGTCAGGCCAGCCTTGCTCCTTGCTGTTTATGTACTTGTGTGACCTCTGATGTGTACAAATAGCCTGACCCCACCAGTACATGTTGACGTGTCCAGGATATGGTATATACTCTATATAATTATAAACGGAGCCGAAAACAAAAGAGTATACTATAAAGGGCGAAACATTTACTACTAGTACAAAGTACGTGTGTTATGATAAAGTTCTCAGACTTATTTGCTGTCTGTCTGCCATTTCAGTAAACAAAACTCGTTGACACAGAGTAAGCCATCTTGAAAAAAAACTGCCTTTACCCTTAGCAAACGATCAGTACTGAAATCTGACTGTCAGTAACTGAACAGTCAACTGATGTTAATAATTGTTATTGATGCAGCTTTACTGTCACTACTCAACTTTTTTTTTACTGTCACTGAAACATTACTTGTCTGCAGACCTTATTAAGAACTGTATGCAGGGGCTGTAGTCCAGCATAATATTGTCAGTAATACGAAAACATTTCTGTAACTTGATTCTAGAGAAAACCTTGTAAATGTGTGTAACTTAAGTAGAGAGCCTGGTTGTTTAAGTATATATTATTGATTGTGAAAAACCAACATCACTAAGTAAACCTGCTAAGTGCCTGTGTCCTTGTTGGTGAGGGTAAAATGGAACACAGCAGTTTGAGTGAGAATTAGGCCATGCCAATTTGATTTGTTGGTTCTCAGATTTACTTTAGAAAGTCAAAGAATTTGGCAGGCAGAAAAAAAAGAAAAATAAAACCAGGCCAAGGCATCCTGTGATAGCTTGAAATGCTAGAATAGGAGCCAAGTTAACAAAGTAGGCTGGCTCATATTATCCAAACAATGAATTTTCAACTTTAAAGCACTGATAAATGGAAAAGGCTGTAACAGGTAGGAAGACAGGGACTTTCTTTAACTGTAATTTGTGTAAACAGGTGTCAAAATATGAGCATCTGGGGTTAATTCAGAACCGAGTATGTAAGTTTTTTGTGCAAGTAAGGGTGAAGTTTAGAACCAAGAAATTAAATTGTTGTGGCCTTCGATAAAAAACTTAAAGTATCCCATTTGCAGCTGTTACCTCGTTCCATCAAACAGAAGTGTAATGACTTGTGTAAAATGGGAAACACAATGGCTAAATGCTACCGGTAATGGCTAAAGTGAACGGTTGAGTGAGGTCATGTGTAAGAAATTGATGCTAAAGTGCCCTCACAACGAAGGGCAAATTGATTGCTCTATTGTTGACATTTTTATTGCTTTGCATGCCTCATGAATATCAGTATGATAAGGATGTAGTTTCAATCGGATTCAAAATTATGCAGAAAGAAAAGTTCAAAATAAGTTATGTACTACAGTTGATACATGTAGGTTTTCTATTCATGTAGTAACATTACTTACTACTAGTAGCATGTATTTGTTTTCAAGTATCACCAAATCTATTGTTTTCTGCCTTACAAGCATTACTGTTTTCTCCAACAGGTGGTCTTCAAAGCAAAAGGCAAATATGCCTCAAATCCAAGCAGATATAAGTAAGTAGCTTCTTGGTTTATTACTAGTATCTTGCCTTCTGTTTCTACCAAAGCTATGATGTACAAATTCACTGTTGGAGACATTATAATTGTATTGGTCCTTTTTGTACCAAAGTGAATCATTAACATGTGAATCTGTGCCTTTTTCACAGAAGGCCACTGAAAATAGCGTTTGGGGTGGCAGTTCTAATCTTTGTGGCCACTAACATCACCTGCGCAGTCCTAATACGGCGGTACGATGGAGAGGACATTCCTGGGGTAGGGTTAACTCACCTTCTTATGGTCAACACTCAACAGTGTTGGACAAGTACATTGTTTCCTTAGTTATGTTTGCACATGGTTTTTGCTCCATTTCTTCTTCTTCTTGTCGAAACCAAAAAGGTTAATGTCCTGAACCAGACAGCTGTCATCATGTTGCTGTAGCAGACACCCTTTTATATTATGTAGCAACGTTGCAGGACAGTTGGATAGACCGGTCACCATATACATCGTAGATATAAATCTGTGTTTAATTAATTAACAGAGCAGTAGTTTGTTAGCCCAGAGCATGTGAAGGTAGACATCTATACATTGCTAAGGCATGAATAGTACTGTTTAGGTAAAAAATCTTCTTATTGTAACGAATCTAAGTCAGCAACTTTGTGCACCATTGTAACCATTTATGATAGACTAGAAATCCAGTGGTTTTGCTCGATTTCTTGTAAGACCTTGTTTGTTGTCATTCCCGCAGGCCATCATTGTAGGCAGGGTGATCATCAACGACTCCCTGTTTGTGATTTCTGCCATTCTGCTGTCTGTCTGTATATACAAGATTGCCAGAATGCCAACAGCAAATGTTTTACTGGAAGCAAAGGTGAGCTCTGGCCTGAGCTTCTGCTATTTCTTGGGTACAGTAATATATGTTCTGTGTCTAAGGATTGCGTAATTGCCTCTCACTATGCCTCAGTAGCTGCTCGATTAGGTGGTATGTTCAGTCATTTCAAGTCAAACCTGTACAAGAGACCACTTCTACAAAACTACCACCTGGCCAATGTCAGCACTTTTTGGTGGTTCATTACATGATTTTCCCTACAGACACAAGCATTAAGAATCCTGTCTATAGAGACCACCTGTTCACATAGACCAAATTTTATTGGTCCCCTGAGTGGTTTTCTTGGGCAGTTTTGACTTCAGTTTTTAATCTGCCTCTTGTAATCGCAGGGCTTCACAGTGGGCCAGTCTATAGCAGCGTCAGTAGGGATCATCCTGCTGTATGTGTCCCGTGCCATGTACAACCTGGTCGCTGTCTCACCCATACCTACACCTTCCCTGGGATACAGCTGGCTTAACGTCTCAGATCAGGTGAGGATTGAAATCTACATACAAAATAGCAATCAAGTCCTGGGATATATCCATTCGTTTCTGATATATGTAGTAGCTTTTGATAAATGTCTTCACTCTTCCTCCTTCTACAGTCATTTTAGATGCTTTAAAGGGGCTTTTACCTACTACAGGAAGTAGACAGGGAGGTCATGTGTAGAATGTTGTCTTGAATATTGTGCTAGGACCTGAGGAGGTGATGTGTAGAGTATTGTGCTGAATGATGTGCTATGTTTCTCCCAGGCTGACCTGTTGAACCTAGGGGCCAGTGACCTGAACTACCTAGTGTTTGGGCTGGTTCTGTTCTTCTGGGAGCTCCTTCCGACTTCCATCGTGGTCATCCTGTACCGAGTCAGGCGCCCTCCACAAGATCTGGTAGCTTATTTCTCTAAGTCTCATGTGCTTAGAGGATTTCACATTGTCTATGCCACTATAATACAATGTTAACGTTACCAACACAATCATGTGTGCCTGTGTTACAGGTACCTATTATAGAATGGCTGACATCCACAAGCAGTGGTTGGCATATTTCAAAACGTTTTAATGACATAACAAAGTCATACATACTTACGATGTAAAAAAAATGACAAAAATCATTGATTGTTCATATTCTACAATTTGTGCCTTTAACTTTTAAGTCTGGTGTAATTATAATGTTGTTTCTCCAGATGTCATCAAGCATGTCCACCCAGAGCTATAAATACTTCTTTGACAATCCGAGGAGGTACGACAGTGATGATGACCTGTCCAGGGTGCACAGCAGAAGTGGCAGGTGAACATGCTTTCTACAAAAAGTGTTGATGATTTTCAAATTGGAAACATTCCTATACATCTGTGCTCTTGAGGTTTACCTGTGAGTGTACAAACCTGCATTCCTTGATGTTGAGAAAGCATATACCATTGGTTGACTTGCTGTATCTTCCTATCCTTCTTCCCGTCCCAGCCAATATGACATTCCGACCCTGCCAGTCACCCCCAGCTCGTACTCCATCAACAGCAGCACCCCCACCCCCCGGGGGTACGGCACCATCATGAGGAGCAGCAGCGGGAGTTACCCCTCGGGGCAGTACGGCATGCCCGGCACCACCCCGCCACTCCTGTTCAGCACAGGCAACATCAACCCTGGCAGCAGGTACCAGGCGTATGATGGGACATGAGGGCAAAGGTCACCACACCAGGTGTATGATGGGACATGAGGGCAGCTGTCTTTGCACCAGGTGTATGATGGGATATTAGGGCAGACGTTATAGAACCAGATGTATGATGGGATATTAGAACCATGGCAGCAAAGATTGAAAACAGGAGAAAAGGCACAATCCATTGCAGGAAATCAATATGAGAGAACTAAGAAGTTATTCTATGACTTGATATACCATAAGGTGTAGCCTGTGTGAAGTAACTTTTAAAAATTCAATAATTAATGCTTCTCTTGTGAAATTGTGATGTATAGTAATTAAATGAAGTACAGTGTACTCATAGTCTGATACCTATTCATGCATATGATAGAAAGAGGAAAACACGTAAAAAAATAATATTATGGGTCGTGCTAAGAGAATGCAAAACTGTAAGATTTATAAACATACATTTAAGAGCTGTAAATATGAAATGTTGTTATGGCCATGCCATATGTTGAGATCAGTCACTCAAGATAATCATATCAAGTTTAGAGAGAACTGGCCACTTTGCCATGTAAAATTATTCTTTCCATGAATACCTTGTACCAATGCCAGAAACCTAATTCTAACAGATGAGAAAAGTATGAATTAATGTATTAATGTGGAAGTGTGTTTCCACAGTTTAATTAGGAAAATAAGTCAGCTGTAAGTTTTTACTTGCTGTTTTTGGATCACCCACTAGTTGACATACTGGGATTTTGCTGTAGTTATGTCTTGTACGTACAAGACCCAGAACATTTTGGAGTTGTAATTGATAACAACGCCCATGCTCAAAGCAAACAAAGTAACTCACATTTGTGCAGGCAGTATGAGCTACTCCAAAAGACATGAAATTCATGATATAATGTTTGCCTCAGAAAGTTCGACAGTGACGAGTTACTGTACTTTTGTAGCAGTATTTTGTTGTTTTAGTTTGAATTTATTTCCAAAGTTTAGTTTTACATCTTGATGGAAACACTGCATCTAATGATGCAGATAGAAGAAAGCAATCTGAAAAGTACACTTGTTGATAAAAGAGGGGAGAATGAATTGTCTTCGTGTGTACAAGTATACAATACTTAGTCTAATATACAGGGTTTGCTTGAAGTGGATAGATACACCTATCCTTTGGGAATATTGGCAGTATACGTATTCAAGCTAATATAAAGCATTAGTCTAATTGGTTGTAGTGAGCTTTCTTCAACTGCTAATTTGCTTGCAAATATCTCAGTTACCTGGGAAAGTATATGAAGTTCTCCCACCATTATATACATGTACAAGGTTTATTCCCAGAATGAACTTTTTTATTTGTACCGGCAGTTGCTGTCCTTGAACAGGGTCTTCATGCCATTACAGAAATGGGAGGCAAGGTTGTAGTTAGAACTTGTACCCACTTGGGTAGATGGTAAAGGTAAAACTGGAAGCAGAGCTTTCTGAGGAATTGTGTGCCACAATGAAGGAATGGGCAGGTGTCTGCTGAGCAGATGTACTTGTACTGTGACATGGAATATTTGTAAAAATTGTGCTGTGCTTTCACATGAAAAGACACAATATTTGAATATGCACTGAATGCAATAGAATGGACAGGAATCGTGGTGTAAATACAGTATTTTCTTTGCCTGCATAAAGCTGGCTTATTAAACAGGAACATACATGTAGAAAACAGCTTATCTCCAAGCAGATCTGAAGGTGGCAAAATTGTAAACCACCTGGGCAGTATCCATTTGTTCGGTGGCAAATAGATACTGCCTTGCCTTCCTGCAGTTGATTACAATTTTGCCACCGTAACATCTGCTTGTTAGCCTATTCTTGAAATCAGAATCCTAAAGAGTGGCAACTTTATGTAAATTGTTATTTTTGTAAGATTGAAATGCAGTGTTAATAGTGTGCAGAATGATGTTTGAATTATGTGCAGAATTTTTGGTTTACTAATCTGTTTATTCTCAGTATTATTATTCTTAATTTCTATTATAATTATTACTTGTGTTGTACATGTATCGCTTTTATGTTTAGCTTTTCTTTTAATTATTATCAATGTAATAAATGTATATTATGTTAAATGCTTTGCAATGTTCTGAAAACAAGATTAACCATATGCTCTTGGATGAATGTAAATTACAATATACTACTTTTTAGATTAAAGACTTGTTGGTTGAACTGGAATTCAGTGAATGTAGGTTTGAACATGGCCGAACATACCAAAACCTGTTGAAAGTGTAACATTCATTGTTAGTATAGTAGTGTATGACAGGTATGGAGTCCAGACCGGTAACAACATACATCTTGTCTTCCTGTTAAGGCCACACCAATTTAATCACTTGGTTCTCAGAATCGCCCTATTTTTCCCCCAAATGAAAAAAAAAGACCACCACAGCTCCCATTCAGTAAATTTGCAGTCTCCATCCTCAATACTCTTACAATTGTGTATCGTTGCTATAATATTTTTCATTAATCAAACCATACCAATTCACATACCAGTATCATGCAACAAATCATAGTTTTACATTTACTTTTGGATAATTTTCAACAAACTCTTAATTGGTAATATTAGGATGAGGTTGGTTGTCTGCCATAGTAGTGTATTCGCCCTGTCGCTTCATATTTTTGAAGATGCAAAACATACAATTAAATTGCTGTGGCCTAAGCTAATAAATTCAGGTAATTTGAAATGAGTAAGCTGATTTGGTAAGAAGTCTGGTTATGCAGCATAATGCTTGAGCAGAAGTTAAAGCAATAAAAAATGTTCAAATCTTCCAGCACTGATGTTACATACATTTGTAAATGTTTTATGACTTAGGGGCCAGGGCATAGTTTATTGTGTGCTGTTTATCCAGATTAGGTTGATAGCTTGTGGGTATGTGACGATTGACAAGCAGAATGACAGGTCAAAAGGTCATACACAGGAAATGTCTCTGGCTGGGAGCAAGCAGAAGCCATAGGGGAATATTCAGGATAGCATGAGGAACCTTCCAATACTTCCCAGAAGTCATTTGGTGTAATGTAGCCAGCTGCCGCCGCGCTGCGTGCCTGTGAAGCTGGAGTGTTGCGCCAAAGGGTGGTGGCTATACAGATACAGAAGTCTGAAGACGGATAGAATGATAGACAATACTGGTTTCACATCTTGACTGGAACGGCAACATAAAAAAGGACACGACCAATACCGACAGGATACGTCTTTATCCAAATTCACCACCATAACATTGAGACAAAAACTAACCTTATAGCACTTCATTTTGCACAAGTTGTCCTTCCATACTGTTGACAAGACTATTGTACAGTATTTACAAGGGTAGTTACACACCAATACTTTACCTTATACAAAGATCTTATCATTTTGTAAGAGGTTTCCTTCAAGACCCTATGATGAAATCACCAGACTGAGTAATATTAACTCCTATTACCTTCACTTAATACATTAGGAAAGTCCAGTTCTAAAGTTTATCATACCTGGGTTTATATCTTAAGCCTTAACAAATTCAGTAGTTTTCTTGTTTCTTTGGCAGATGTATTTGAAATGGAATATTAAAGTACAACCATGTTTTAAGCAACATTGATTCTTACATCTATCACATTATAATAATAGATAAAGCTAAAATGGCTGTATACATACAAACTGTTACTCTAACACATGTGTTAAACCTTAAAGTTGTTTTTTTTTTTAGGATTATTCCTGTGTCAGGACTCAGAAGGTCACCACAATCCATTAGTACCAATCTCAATACAACTGCTGACTTATACAGGCAGCTTACATACATGTACATGTGATCTTCACTTGTCATTCTATACACCAACCAAAATCAATTATCTTAGCAACCAACATCTAATTATTAACAAACAAATAAACAAGTGATTCAATACAGCCCAGTGTGCCACAAACACAAATAAAACAGTGGGAAATGTGTGCATGTGCAAAGTGCTGCCACATCAACTTAAGATATGTTTCTTACCAGTATACTGACAAATATATCTCCTTACTACTTAACACTATTCAAGTAGCCTTTAGTTTTGTTTCATAACAACATATAAAGAACATCTAATCTCTGCACATGGACATGTTACAGTTTGTCAGCAGAGCAATATTTACCCCATTAACCGTTAATACCATATATACAATGTACATGTTTGACTGGCTGTATTTGACTTTTATACAATTTCTAAACAAACTACAATTAAAGCAGCACAAAAAAATGCAGGATATATTCGATTTATCATTTCATTGGTCTTATATACACAACTTATAAGTACTCCAGAAATAATATTGCCCACTTTCCAGCATGTCTATTCTTCACGAAGCGGCCTGGAATGACAGTTTCCTCATCCCACTTGAGCAGAAGTGAAGACCAGAACTCCTAATTTCTGTCGAAACTAGAGAACACGAAAACAACAATATGAGAGTTTTGACCAAATTATACCTTGACTGAGCTTAGCCTATCTCAAATGCCAGCAAAGAGTGTCTTCAATGCATGTTTAGTAATTCTGTATTCTTAACAGGTTTTACTGAACAATTAAAAATGTACCACACATCATTTAGAGCAGGTATAACTGCCCTTCAGCATAATACACCATGGCCAGCTTTGCAGGCACACGACCTATCACGACCTGTAAGCATTGTTTAAAGCTATCTAGTGGCGATGACCCTACTGTACTTGGTGGCTGCAAGTTCCACTTTATGATAGTTCTAAGAAAAATAAGTTGTCTTATATCTTACCAGGAGTTCTGTCTCCCTCATTATTCCATCTTGTTCATCTCAAACCGGGTGGTCATGATTTCCTGCAGACAGATGAAGAGAACAGATATGTCATAACTTGTTTAATACATGTTACGCACAACATTCCATGTGAATAATATCTTATACATAAACAAGAATGTACAATTCTACAGAAATGTACGAGTTGAAATTGAGTATTCATGTACATTAATAACCATAATTGAAAAATGCCAATAAATACTTAACAGGTATCTGATAACTTACTTCATCAGAGTCTAAAAGACTTGGCAAGGCTCTGTGGTATTGGAATAAAAAAACATACAACTGTTACAATAACCTCAACCATGTATCACAAAGACAAACTGCAGTACAGTCAAGTATATGTTACATGTTCATGTTAGTCAATCATTTGGCTGTTTCTTTTTCCACAACAATTCTCAACTCATGCAATGATTGATTACAATGGTATCCACTCAGTCTAGGCATTACTGTAAAACAGAGACATTCAGAAAGAGATGTAGACAGGACTTACGTATCAGCGACTGAAGAAGGAATGTTTTCTTCTATCCATTTCAAATCCTCCTCCTTGTGAAGTGAAAGAAACAACTTTTAGAGGATGAATTTACAATACAGCAAACTTCTATACTAAGTCTTACGGGCAACAAGAAAACCTGTCATTACAAATCACTACACTATAAACAACTTGAAAAATGGAGACAAGATTTTTCATACAGATATAGCCATTGTGCTGATTGTTGTGTTCCTATAGATCCATATTGTATAGAAGAGACTTACTGCCTTCATGTCTGTATCGTTCATGGCCGGGGAGTTGCCGTTGGCGTTGTTTTTCCCACTAAGGCCGCGCATCTTCATTCCCTCTGTGAAAACAAGATAAGACTTAAAAGACATCTGCGCTAGCCTACTAAAACGATTTTTTTTTACTTTAACAAAAGCAGAGGTACTGGGACAAAGTACTCAAGTATAGAACGTATATTTTCACTCCATCACAGAAAAGACATACAAAAACACAAAAAGGTGAAACCAATAAAACACACATTTCTAACAGAAGCGAGGTACAAAATGTGTATACAAAAGGTTGAAATAGATATGTTTTGAGTTTGTAGTAATGAAATTTCTCTAGTATAACCTGATTTTTCAAAACATTTTTCTTAATACGAATACAAAGTCTGTTTACTACATTTCAATGTAACATTACAGTAAAGAGTTGACATGGTACTAACCAAAAGCATCGTTGAGCATGGGTTCCTCAGCTTCCACATCCTGTTCCTCAGTCAGTGGAGAGAAGGCATAGCTGCACAAGACACAGTGGTCCAATGATTAATATAGAAACATCTATTTGTATTTGAATATAAGATGTAAAAGCAGGGACCAGCAACAAGCAAATGTAAACATTGACTGCGATACTGTGTGTGTACTGACCGCTGGTTGTTGGCTGTAGGCCTCCACAGGACCATGATGACCATCAGGATGACCGAGAACAGGAGGTGCCAGTAAGCCTCATCCACCCACAACTCTGACCAGTCCTGGGGTGGGGAGGGGGGCACTTATCAACACATAAAAACAACTGCAACTCTCTTAACACTAAAGAACTTACAATAAAACAGTATGATATTAATGCACTATTTGCCAGCTGTTTAACATTTCTTTTGATGTGTATGTTGATTTAATCTTCTTGTAACAAAAGCTGTAACAGCTCAATTAGACAAGAGTTAACAGGTACTTACAGACAGGCACTGTGTGAATCTGATTGTCTTAAAGGACCAAATCATGAAGCCGATGGAAGCTGGAAGAAAAAGAAAATCTTATTTATTAAGTTTGTACCGGTAAATGCTGACTATATTGCACTGAACAACCTGCTACACCAAACTCGTATGTCTATCTTATTGAAAGCATTGTTTAAAGGTATCTGTGATGATTTCCCTGTATAGTGCTTAGTGGCAGTGAGTTTCACTCTACAATATAGTTCAAGGGAAAAACATTTTGAACACCTCAAATCCTTGGTTGAATAAAACAATTTTTTGGTCTGGGACACCCAATTTTCTCAATTTCTGTTATATTTAGCATTGAAATGTGTGTTTTCTAGAGTGTGTATGACATAAATAAAATATAACACCAAACAAACAAACCCACCTAGCACAGCGAAGATGAGAGTGTTGGTGAAGTGTCTGTAGAGGGACAGTTTGACCAGGTTGCGGCGGAGGCGCAGGGTGCGGGTGGTCTGCACCAGGCTGCTGAAGATCCACCAGCAGATGGCCGAGTCCAGCACGGCCAGCGGGATGGACGCCAGTAGCGCCTGGTTGGTCGGGTCCTGTTTGGGCTGGAGAGGGAATCGTGTTAACATACTGGTGTAAATATACACTTCAAATCAACATGCCCGCAGAATGTACTGCACCTGAGCATGCATAACATTTCTACAGAACATATTGTTTAAGGTTGTGTTGATGTATTTAAGGATGACATGTTGTGTTGGAAAAGATATCTTATACAATAGACAAAATTCTCATGCAGCATTGACCAAACATCCAACAGAAACAAAGGTTTTGCACAGGTGCAGTACATTCTGCTGACATCCTCTTCAAGTTACTTTCATACAAAATTGATTACTAGTACCTAACCCATTTTTTCCATTCCATTTACAATATAAGCTTCAGGGCTGTTTTTGTGAGTCATAGACTCTCTACAGATTTGTTTCTCAAGTTCAACACTCTAACTACATGTATAATTGCAAATTTTACAACCAAGAGCTATCAAACAAAGTACAAGAAAAACATGCAGCAAAAGTAAGATCTCCTGCAGGAGAGAGCAGAAGAGTCCTACAGTCTGGTCTCTACAGACAAGCACCTACCGACAGCCCAGAGGACACATGGCGATAGGGCTGCATGTGGGGGCCAAGAGATCAGGACCACATCAGTAACAGTTAGCCTCAGTACAAACTACTCTTACTTATAGCAGTATCAGTCACTGGTGTGTGGTTAACGACAGGACACGTTGTTAGTTCATTACATAATGGATCATATGGTCAATTCACTAGGGCCTAATTTAATAGTAGACTAGACCCATTTGCTACTATTTTGGTTAATCAAACTTAAAGTCTACGTGAAGAAAATGCAAACTTTAGAGAAATCATGCGAAGGACTTTATGCATGCCAAAACTTTACCTTTAGCCACCCATAACACAAGTAAGACCTTCTCAATCATCTAAGCCTATTGGCTCAGAACATTTGAGTAGGTTATCTCTCAAAGCAAGAGCCACACAAACTGTGTTGCTTCAAACAATGCAGATAGACAAGCTACCAAATGTCTGTAATTTCTATCTGAAGACATTTTTAAAAGGATACTGTAAATTAGGGAAAGTTCAGAAAAGGCTCTTGAAGATTTGACTAAGGACACATCCCTACTGAAAACAAGTGGATATTCCTGATCCTTGGTCCCCATCATGCATTCTTACCATGCCATTCAGGAATTGTTACAGACACAAGTCACACACGCACACGTAACCATGCATGTGCATGTACACTCACAAACACCTCACTACTTATAATGATAGTCCAACACAAAAATAAGATCTGGGTTGACCATCTCCATACTTACTCTGATGGAGCGGAGACAGCCCTCCACAGATCCCAGGATGAAGTACAGGGCACCGACACCCAACACACGGTGGAGCATCGGGCCAAGACGGGGCCTGGGGAAAAACAACACAGTCGGGATTCTTTGTAAGATAATTATCACTGTGTCTCAATACTTAATCAAAGACATTTCTTGAGATTTTGTTACAAGAAAACTAGCCTAACTAACTACTGCTCTGTTGATTCTCACTCAAACACGTTCATATGGTAACCAGCCCCTACAACTCTGTCCTGCCATTTGCTACACAATGTAATCCAACACCATAGGGTGTCTGCTACAGCACCAGCCACCATGGTGACAGTCATCTAATCCATTGACCCTATTTGTTTGGAAGAAAAAGAAGATTCATTTTGTTTACCCTGTAAAAGAAGAAGACTTGTTATGTTAACGGACTAACAAGTCTGTTATTCCATGTTCTCTACCACTGTTGAATAAGCTGACTTACTTGACGATTCCATACCCCAGGCAGACAATGATGACCAGCATCCTGGCCAGGGTTCTCTTCAGACATGACACCAGCTCAGCAAACACCACTGCCCCTCGCACTGTGGGAATAAATAAATGTGGGAATGAATAAATGTTTCTCAAGTTAATAGCAGCATAAAGAACAAATATTTGAATTAGGACCACCAGACAAAAAATTTATCATACACCTGTAGCATAAATCTGGCTCTTAGTCTTAATTATAACTTGCTGGGTTTAACTTCTGAGACAGTGGAAGATAAAAGATCCCACTTTTTTGTTATGTGTAAGTTATGCGATGATAAGAGGAGTAGTTTTTACCTCTGGGGGAGGAGACATCCTTCTGCGGAAGGGTTTTGTGAGAGATTTAGATTTTCATGTTCGCAGCTGTTTCTCGCATTTGGGTGGACGGATTTTTTTGGGACTTGGTGTATGTTTTGCTATTGGGCTGTAGATTATGCACGTTCTTTTGTTTTTATTGTATATGTGTTTTCGGGCAGGAAAATGGTGCCTTTTGGTGGCCCCAGAACACCCCTTTGAGCGTAAAAATGGTCGCGACCGTTGACCTTGGGCATGTCTAAGCTATTCTCGGTCTGGTCCACGTATATGACCCCTCACACAGAGGGGTGTCCAGTCTTGATAAATTCTTTGTTTAAAAACGTTAACCTATATAAAAATATACAATAAAAAGCCCGGAGGTATAACATCTCAGATTGTACTTGTTTTTTCTTTAAATCTGGAAAAATTGGGATGGCATTTCTTTGGAGAGCTCCCTTCTTGCTTGTGATCAAAGAAGGAACAGTTTGAGATGAAATATATTTCGTCTTCCACCATATTAATATGTACAGTATTGACAAGTTATTCCACTTCCAGTGGTACCTTACCTGATACCCCAGTGCTGTTGACATGCTGGTACTCAGCATAGAACACAGCCTTCTCCAGCATGCCCAGGATGATGACTCCTCCCACCCAGAACTGGATCCGCAGCAGGTCCCTCCACTGGCAGGCCAGCAGGAGCAGCCAGATCACCCCGTACAGCACGTACACTCCACACATCACACCATAGAACTGTACAGGAACAGCACAAGTGTGGTCAGTACAGCATGTACAACTATAGAACTGTATAGGAATAGTTAACTCTCCACACATCACACTATAGTACAGTACAGTGTGGTCAGTACAGAATGTACAAATACATGTATAGAACTGTACTGAACAGTTAACACTCCATGCATCACCCTATAGCTATAGAAGTATTAGAACTGTACAGGAACAGCACAAGTGTGGTCAATACAGCATGTGCAGCTATAGAACTATACAGGAACAGCACAAGTTATCAGTATTCCATCTACAACTAGAACAGTAAAGGAACAGGACACACACATCACACTATAGAAACTGCAGACAGTAACAGTAAAGTTGACACATTACTTACAGGAAGCAGTGCCCAGTCTGTAGCAGAAAGGTAACTGGTGCCTTTTCTCTCGGAGACACCAACTGAAAAACAATAAAACATTTCTTAAAGCAACTCTCCAAATACTGACAAAGTCTCAACAATTGCTACAGGGTGCAGAGGTTATAGCAAATGCCATTCTGTGCTTCAAACAAGCAAAATGAACGTAAGTGCTTACCAGTCAATTGATAGTCCTCCACACCTTCTGTATTGACTGGCAGGATCCTCACCACCAGCAGGTAGGGACCATTCTCCCAGGCATGGGTCACAACATTACCTGAGTGCTGGGATCAAAATGAACAGCTTAAAAATAGTGTACTTAATCTTCTCCCTACTGCCTTACCCCATAACCAATACAAATTTGGTATCCAGTGCTGAAACCTGAAAATAAAGCTTACGTTTTTTCAGTACCATGAAACCAGCAGTAAGTGACTTAAAGGAACACTTAAGTACAGGAAATGAGT